CAGTCTCTGAGAGATACGGAATCCGGACGTGCCGGAAAAGCAGGTTTTACGCGGATTTACAAGACGAGGGTCGGTAGTTCATGGGGTGTTACCATATATACGTAGGTATGTATGTATGTATGTATGTATGTATGTATGTATGTATGTGTATATATATATATATATTCACATGATGAACTGGAATCGCCAGATGAGGGGACGTGTTTAAGATACATGATGATTTCCTTACGAAAAGCTGGTTTTGCGGTCCCAAGCCAGCTTTTTCCTAGGGGTAAGGTTGGTTGTTCGTTCCTTTTTGTTCCTAGGGAAAGATGGTATCACACTTCAAGACCAAATTTTTCCTAGCAAAGAGTGTGTATTGAATGTGTTGTGTGCGCGCATCACGAATTAGTGTTGCTAACAATGTTCATCGAGTGTCATTACTATTGGGGTTCGATTCCGCCTAGCACTATGTAATACTATACAATAGGAAATAACCAGGACATTATTCGGATGAGTATCTGGGTAAATAAGGAGCTAGTACTGCAGGTTTAACACAGACCTGGACCCAGGACGTCAGGGTTATCACAGCTACCGCTGCGAATTTTTCTAGCTGATTAATAAGAGAAACATCGCGGTCAGATCATGGTGGTACTAACCCTACTATGGATGGCCTTAGGGCTGCCATCAGGGCGAATACCATTGACATAAGGGTGAATGACAAGGACAGGGTTGGGGTTGATGTTGTTTGGAATCAGGAGTAAATTACCGATCCTCGTCATAGTGTTCGTATCTAGTACAAGTTTAACCTTGGGGTTAGCATGCGTATATAAACACATGAATGTACATACGCGATCATAAGCGCATACGGACAAGTCCGAGAAGATCATATGCTACAATGAGAAAAGGTGTGCCATATACCTAATGATGAGGTAAACAGACAAATGCTGGTATCATCCCTAAAAACATAAGGGCCGTCATTTGGGCAACGCCAGAGCGAAGGCAGCAAGGATCGCGGCTCTTAATGGGTATCGTTTTGTGTCGTTTCATATTTGCGCGAAGGTGACAGCTACCGTTGAAGTACATGTTAGGCAGGTATTTAGCTAAAATGTATTCATACTGATAGTAAATAGATTAGGGATGGCTTGGAGGACTTGCTTGAATGCTCGTGCAAAGGATCCCACAGCTACATCTGGATTAATTAACCTGTTGATGAGGCCAATGGTCGGGGCAAGGACATTATATGGGTTGCTGTTGCAGGAAGTATCCGGTACAGTACGAAAGATACCAATGCGAACAGCTTATGGGCAATATGAGGGTTGCCAAGCGGGCTGCAACATCCCTTCTATCGGGGGGCCAATCCGACTGATGTATGTTATTATCTTAAGGTCGATATGGCAGTTAAAACAATACACAATGGGTTTCAGTCGACATAGCAATTTTAATCCATATGAACTAAGGCGTGAATCTATAAGGACTTTTTCTTTTGGGTGAACATGAAATAGAAGACGACGGTCACCATGGGGGCCAATGTGAGGTCTAATGGCAGGGTTAGTCTTAGGATTACTGTTGTTTAGGAATAGGAGTCAGTCCAAGCCCACGGTCATTTAACGTATTGCTGGGGCTTTTGGTCTGAGACTACAGTGAAGGCTACCTTGACAGGACTGAGTTTCATCGTTGAAGAAATCATCTCTCGAAATATTTGGGTGAAGCGTCGCAAGAATTCAGAATGAAGGCTTCTGCCGATAGACATATGCTGTTTCTTCGGAACTTCAAAACGTAACGTGAAACCTGGATCATACAGCAGGCATTGGTGGCACTCTCGCGGCGCCTCGTGGTAATTCTTGGGGTGAGGGGGGGTAGCGTATATATAAATATCTCATGTATACAAAGAATCTGTTCATCTTAAAACACGCCCTTCATTTGGCGAATTTGACGACTCCGTTTCATCATATCTCTTATGAACCTCGTCTGGCTTGTCCGAGTGGTGAGTGCGTAATCACGCCCCGGTTCATCATGTATCGTAGGCACGCTGCCACATTTGGCGATTCCGGTCCATTATACACAAATGCATATATGTATGTGTATATATATATATATGTATCCTTATGTATCTATATATATATATATACATATCTCTCTCTCTCTTAAACACGCCCCCTCGTCTGGCGATTCCGGTTCATCCCGGTTCATCATATATCTTAAAAAAAACTTAAACTACGCCCCACCATTTGGTGATTCCGATTCATGAGATATATCTTAAACACGCCCCATCATTTGGCGATTCCGGGTCATCATACTTCTTATACACGCCAGCTGATTGGGCGACTCCGGCTCATCATATCTTAAACACACCCCTTATTTGGCGCTTCCGGTTCATCATGTATCTTAGACACGCCACTTCACCACTTCATTTGGCGATTCCGATTCATCATATTTCTTGAAGTCGCTCCCTCATTTGGCGATTCCGGTTCATAATACTGTATATCCTCCACAAGCCCCCTCCCCCCTCATTTGGCGATTCCGGCGCATCATATATCTTAAACATGCCCTTGAGGCGGAGGTTGGCTTAAAAAGAACCCCCCCCCCCCGTTTTGCAAACACATCGGTATCACGGGTTCTGAAAAAATCCATACGCGCTCTGTGTTCTTGTAGTAGAAGTAGTAGTTGCAGTAAAAATAGTAGTATGAAGAAATCCTCTTTGCTGAACCGAAGCCTTGAGTGAGTGAATCAAGCTTTGAAGAGCTGTGTCAACTTGCAGATCATTCAAAAGGCTTCGTATATAAACACCTTTGCAGGAAGCTTTCGAATCATGAAGTCAATGTGCTTGTGTGGTGAAAAAGAGTGGAGCCTCAATTCGCTGCGCCATGGTCTCTTGAGAACCCTCGTGAGAGGATTGCATGACTTCGCATGCAGCAGACCTGGCATCAAGTATGTGATTAGAATCCCAACAGAGTAGTAGTAGTAGTAGTAGTAGTAGTAGTAGTAGCAGTAGTAGTAGTAGTAGTAGTATCATCTGTATCAGTTGTTGTTGTTGTTGTTGTTGTTGTTGTGGTAGGTCGCTTGCATCGTGGGCCTCAGAACTCATTTACTGTTTCGGGGCAGAATAAAATTGAATAAAACCACAAGAGCGTATAGGAGAAAAGCGAGCCGGACGAGACCTGAAGGATGAGGATGGAAAAAAAGTGAAGCCGACAAGCAGAAATTCGGGGACGCAGAAGAGCGAAGCTGGCAAGCAGAAGCAAGAACAAGCAGAAAGCGAGAAGCAAACACAGGCAAAAGGCAGAAAGAACAGCAGAGTGTCTCACCGGCTACACACAGCTGTCCGGATGCGATCGGAGCAGCGTGACCTAGCGCGACCTACAAACACTTTCAAGATCTGTCGCGGTTGAGTTTCCTGAAAGCAGTTTGCTGCAAGTTGTTCCCTAAAGCCTTCAAGCCGCGTATAGCTCGTGGATCTATCCTCATGTCATATCAGATATCATGTCATAATGTCGTATGAGTTGCAGCTGTCCGAAAACATGAGTGCCCAGAAAAGCGATCGGATGCCAGCACATGCCGATATTTGTGTCGGAATCACCGGCCGGCTTTAGCCAACAAAGCACGCATTCCGACTGTACCGTAGGACATTCCGAACTCAGAACCGGCTTTTTGACTTTGCAGGGTAAAGTGTTCTCTCGCATATACCGAAGGCCGAAGGCTTGACATTCTCCCATATACCCTTCGCTTGGTGTTGACGTGTAACGACTTGCTGAAGGCGCCCCGACCGTGCGACGACTGCGTGCACCAGCACCGTAAAGCAAACGTTCTTCCGCAAGCCAAAGCCCCATGCTTTTCCCGCGCGAATGCCAACTTTACCGGCCAGGTAGATGTTTCAATGAGGAAGATCAGCTCATCATGGTATCTCGGCAGATCACGACATGGACTGAGGAGGGGCCGCGGGGTTGTCGTTCACCAGTGCTTGAAAGAAGACAGCAATTTTTGGTTTCCGGACACGATCCCCCTGCACCACGGATCCGACTCACCCGTGCCTCCGAGGCACGGGGGGACTTGGTGGCTTCAAGCAGCTCCGTGAGTTCATCGTGCACTTTGAGTCAGGGTGTGCCCTAAGCCAGGTTTCATGTTCCGACCACCTCGCAGAGTTCGTTGACACTTTTGACCAAGCTCGTTTTTCTGCAAGTTCCAAGCTTGGCACTGGATGTGACTCTCAGCCGAGAGCAGATGTGGTTTCATGCATTGCTGCAACAGGCTTGAACTTGCACTTTGGCCTGCCGAGTTTCATTTCCGTTGCCGTTGCGTTTGCTCAACCTCCAATGCAAGCACAATACAACTTTCCATGCACAGGCTTCAATGGGAAACGATTCGGGGATCAGGGTTGTACAGCTTGTACAGGTTTCGGATAACCTCGAGCCGGAAAGCCCAAGCCAAAGACCCTGAGAGCTGCTCAGACCAACTTACTAGATGTTGGATAGCGAAAGCTTCAGCGGCAGTCTCTGGTAGTCCCAGGCCTAGGTGTCCCGTATGTCCGCCCACGAATCGCAACAGACCCCTTATGTCACAGAAGGTAGACCATGGTAGACCTTTACCCATCAACGGTAAGTTCCCAAGGGCTTCCTTTGATTCTGCGGCCACGTGCCACCAACAAGAGCTTCGGCAAACATGAGTCCGGCTGGCTCTGCCAGCAATTGCGATTGACTTTTGCCTCGTCTGCATAGAGCGCAATTTGAGCCCAGGTGTTTGCTTTGTTCGTGTGTGCTTGCTCGAAAGTGGCTCTCTGCAGACGTGTTGTGACCTGTACAGCGGGGAACACAGCCGAAGCAAGCAAGAAACGAAGCTCCGCCCGGCTCAGTCCGACGAGGCTGGTTTTGAACATAATGTCTACCCTTGCCACATCAGACGGACTTCTACAAAGTTCAGACTACTTTGGGCAAGAGTTTGAGTGGTTTGCAGATGAACCGAAGTTATAATTTCGCCAGAATGAGCATTCGACCCCGCTGTCTTGTGAAATGATTTTGTGCCAGGATTTCGTCGCTTCACTGAAACCTCCCCGCAAGGTGCCCTGCCGCGTAGGGCCGGCGATGTTGTGCACGCAGGGAACTGCAAACTGCTGCAAACATATCATACTTCACGGAGTGCGGGTTCCAAGCCAGTTGAAATCTCTAATCTAAGTTGGACGTTGCCTATTCCGACATGGAGCTTCGTGAGGCTATCATCCTAGTTCCAGCCGGTGCTGCCACGGATGCAGTCATTGAGGAGAGGGCATGTTGTTTTGTATAGTGGTTTCGCTTTGCAACAGCGCGCCAGGGAAGGCTTGCTGCCACTGCATAGACATGATGTTTTGTGTCAGATTTCCCCATTGTTTATCCGCAACCTGTTCGGCTGATATGGGCTGGTTTTGTTCAGATACGGGAGGGCTGCATAGTGTTGTGTGTGCTGCTTGGATTTAGGACTTGGCGGCCCTGTTCCGGAAGAGCCCCTTGCCAGAACTGCCAGCACATGCTGCAACATCGATTCCATGCCATTCTGAAGCTGTCCTGTGTCAGACTTCTTCGGTCATGATTTTATCAACCAGTGCCGAGACGATATCATCATCGATGTCGGCAATGCGAACTTTCGCGATCAAATCCGGAGGTGCAACATAAAGCTGCTTTGCTTTCCGTCATACCTGCAGCGGTCCAGAGCCTGAGTTGGCTTTGCAGCTATGCACCACATTAGAGCAAGGCGGTTGTAGTGATTGCTGCGGTGGTCGTGGCTGTTGATCGGGTGAGCTGGTCGAGCCAGGACTTGCAAGACAGTTGTCTACTACTGAGACGCTGCATTGATCACAACGGATGCATGCAAGATGTTTTGGAGGGGTAGGACGACAAGGATCACGACATATGAAACAATAAGGATCAGAGACGAATACTAAGACTAGACGACTGCGGCAGCCTGTGCCATCACACTGTTGCTTTCCTTGCGCCTGCAGAGCATCCTAAGAAGAGTTGAGTCGTCGAGCCAGGGCCGAGAGCTTGGAGAAGCGCGGCCTGCGTCTCTCGGCTCATGGAATTGGTGCGAATTTCAGCGCGGTTTCAGCACACAGGCCTTTAGTGCATTGCAGTCCCTGCTCCAAGAAAGGCCTTATCGTCAACTCCAACTGTTTGAAGCATTTGAAGCATCCTTGTGCAGCCGCCTCCAAGCCTCTTTCTGTGGACGCTGTCCTCTAGGAGCAGGGGAAAAGTAGCAGCTAGCTAGCCAAAAGATTTGCACAGACGATAGTTTGAGCACCTTTGTGCTCCTTCAGCTTCAAGTCCTTATGCGTTTGCGGATGCCTTAGCCTTATAACTTACTATGGGCATTTGTACATCGGGGAAGGATTTCAAGCATCAAGATTTCTGTGGGGGAAACACCCTCCCAAGAATCTGAGAAGCCCCGACGGATTGAAATGATTCCGGGGAAAACGACATGCCGATTAAACAATTGTTATCTCCATTTCTTCCATGTTCATGCATGTCATCTTTCTCAGGTCCCATGTACCCGAGAGTGTACGTTCACCATGTTTCGCCATCGTATATATACGGACTTTAGTCATTTGGGAACTACATTCGATGTTCACTCCCGTTTGCCCGGCAATGATCGCCTGGGCTTTTCGCCCGGGGGCTTTGACCAGTCCCCATGCCCGGGAGAGCGAGAGAGAAAGAGAGCGCGAGAGATACCTTTGACCTGCAGCAAGCAAGCAAGCGAGAGAGAGAGGGGCAAGGTCCCCGAGCAGCAACCCATAGTACTGGTAATAGCTTTCACAATGCGACCGAACAACCAGTGCGCGCTCGCGCGCAGGGAGGGGTGCTGTGCCCTTCTCTTGGCTGTGTGGAAGAAGAGGCACAAGGGGGGCAACCCTCTTGTCCCGAGCCCTGGCGAATGAAGAGCGAGAGAGAGAGAGAGAGAGAGAGAGTGACAGAGTTGCCTGGGCCTAGGTTTTCTTGGCATGGGTGTCAGCGGCGGCGCGGAGGGTGCACGCAAGGGGCCGGCATTTTTCCCAGGAGGCGCGAGATGATGCAGGCAAAGATGAGATAGTGCGGTTGACCTTCGTCGGCTCAATTAGAAAATAGAGCTCTTGTCCGATGTTCAATGTCGTTCGTGGTTTTGTTTGGCACAGCACCCATCTTCAATTCACAACGGTGATGCTTTATGGTTGGATTGTGTTGTTGTGTAGCGGCCTATGTTTCCACAGCATATCGATGTCGTCACAGCGACATGTTTCTTTTCCGGTATCTGGGCCAGACATGGACTTATGCAGTTGTATGCTGGTAGCAACTGAATCGTTTGATGCTTACTAGGTTGGATGTTTGCCCAATCCGCTGCGATCTTGCATTTGGAGTGGCGAGAGCATTTCTTTCGGCGAGGTCTGCCAAAGACCACAGGCGATCGTCCCTTAAAGTGCACGATATATTCGTGCGCAAGCAAAGCATGGCAAAGCAGGGGAGCTGAACTAGGCAAGCAAACCCAACACGGCCAACAGCAGTCATGGCAGTGCAATCCATGCAGTGGGCCGGCAATGCCCACAAATCTCTCACCACGGACTGACAGCTGAATGGTTAAGTGAAGGGAGAGCCAAAGCCAAGAAGTTGTTCAGCGCATTGGATCGCTCTTGGCTTAGCTTGCAACATGTACAAGTGGACAAAGACAACCGTTTTCCTCGCAACCTTCATGCCGAAATCTTCCATGACCGTTTCCGCGACAGCACGAGGAATTCTGAGTTGCAGCCTTCCACTCTGCTGCCTTTCTCGCCTCGCAGCCTCACCTGTGCAAATGGCCAGATAAACCCTGCAGAAGCCTCGCCAGAAAACTCCGATGCAAGTTCGCCGCGCCGCAACAAAGAAACAGCTCAGAGCAGACGGAAGAGGAAAACAAGGCAGAATTCCGCAACTTGCCTCAGCCAAGCTTGCGCAGAGGAACATTGAGTGTTTGGAATGACGTGAAGCACATCATCGAGGCGCCACAACTGAGAGGAGTCACGAGCTTTCGCATCCTGTGCAATGTGACTGTGCTTGTGCGCCCTTGTCTTTTATCTTTCGACTGATCAGACGTCGTAGCGAACGCATCATGTCCGTCATGTGCGGAGGTCAGATGTCCGTCCTGAATATGAGTGTCGCAGTTGGGCTCAAGAAACATTTTTCCTTGCTGTCTATACAATAGAATGGCGACATCAGATGAAGGCTCTGACGCCGACAAGAGCGATCAGGTTGTGAAACACTGGCTCAAGGATCTCCATGTCGAACAATCACGGCCTTATTCAATTCGACGCCCCTCAGCCCTGCGAGAAGTACGATTGCTTGGCCGAGAATCCGTTCACGGTAGGGTTTGCATAACCTAGAGACAAACCGACCGAATCTGTCAGAACAGGGTGGCAGTTAGCCCCTTGGGGCCGAACGGGCACCCATGATGAACGAAGCACCCGACAGCCGCAGGAATACCGCAAATCCTTGGAGCGGATGACTGCCGTCGACGGACCTTTTCCTCTTGCAGAGGAGGATGTGCAGCATTATGGTACCTCCCAGCGGCATGCCAGCAAGGCACAAGTATACACGTATACCCAATCTGGCACATGTTTGGGTGTCAGTGGTTAGCTCTGCCATTATTGCTGCACACACTAGGTTCACGCACTTCGCCACACGGTAGAGTTCTGAGAGACATCACGTGGCACAGACCACTGCAGGGGCTCTCCACGCGGCTTGAGATCTTAGGCGATATCGGTGCTGGCAGAAGGGGCCCAATAGCTCCGTGGCTGGAACAGTCGTGGTCACCTCCAGTTCAGGGCATGGGGTATGGTTTGGATTTACTGATGGTTGCTTTAACTTCGTGATATGACTGATATGTTTGTGAAAAGAGCCCACGGTGCCGGTTTCTGGTGCCGGCAAACTGCTTATTATTTGATCGGATCTTGCGAGGCACGGTTCTAGGCCTGGGGGCTGCAAACGCTTGACGGGGTACTTTGGTGGTTGCCGACCGACCTGCAAGAAGGTGACAGCTTGGCAACAAGCCGCAAGAAACACATTTGCAAATTCGAGACGGACCTGTCGTCGAGCATCCTTGTTCTGAGAGTGCAACATGTTTTCATGTAACTGCGGAGAACTCGAATGCCAAACGTCGTACAACAGCATCTTGCATGGGTCAGAGGGTGAGAATATGTACATGTGCTTTCATGGCACTCGCGTTAGACAGGCGGAAAAGTCGACTTGTCAGAACTCTCGTTTCGCGTAGGCATCATCGTAGGCATCACGGGATGTTCGAAGAGTCAGGCTCCATGCAGAAAGAGCACCGCAATTCCTGCGACTAGTGCAAAGCAGAACGACACTGTCGGCACACTACTCGTTCAACTTGTTTGAGAGGTTGTCAGCCATGTCGGCGCATGCTGACTGCTTGGCAACGAGGATAGCCCGTGTAGTTAATTTTGTTATCGATTTCTAAGGATACATGAAACTATGCGCAAGTGCAAGGCTTCGCTGGAGTTTGTTCAGCAATGACAGACTATGTAGAGATGTAGCGGTCAGCCTGATGTCCGAAGGCAGCCCAGTTCCAGCGCAGGGTCCTAATCTGGAAGTGCTGTGTCACACAGCACACGCCCCTGAGACAGTGTAAAACCGGACGGTGCGACAACAAGGCACGACCACAACTTGAATCAACTGATCGTTCCCTGAGCCGGCTGAACGGAAAAGTGCCACAAGGTCAGTTGCGATTTTTTCGGCTTTGCGAAGCTTCGCTACCGAAACGGTGTAGTGTAGTTAAGTTCTTTCAACTTCCGACTTGAAAAAGTCATTCCAATGCCTGGTGACTGTTTAGACAGGACACACTTGTTGTAGAACAACAGCGGCGGCCTGTCGAGCAGGGGTATGAGGGTTTAGATGTGCCGGTTGCGTGGATAGTATAGGTATAGATCTGCGATTCATTTTACGATATTTTACCTGCCAGTCCATCGCTACACCTCGTGCACCACATGTTGGCTTATATACTGCACCGGTTCGTTGGCCTGTCGATGTGCGAGAAGCTTGTGATTTCTGTGCTGCATCACGAGAACGAAACTGTGCCGTAGGAGTAATAGCAGCAAAGCAGGGATTACGGTCCGGCCCGCATCGGCCATTACGCGACCACTGCCGGGAGGAACTACTGAACTATTGGAGTCGCACGTAGTCTCGTCATGTGCAAACAGGGCGCCTGTTGCACCGCACTGAATTCGTCAGCTCTGAGTGCAGAGCCAGGAGCTTGTCGAATGCAAGACGGATTGAAACCAACGTGCGTACCTCAATTACAAACAATGGGCGGGCGCAGGCACACACAGACACACACACACACACACACGCACACTGGAGTGTTCTGATTTGCTGCAGGAGCTTGAAGTCTTTGTCGAAAATGCCACTGACCTTCTTTGTCGTCGCGTCGTGCGTCGTCATAAGCTGTGGTCCTGGCCCATGAACTGGCTGGCCCATGGACTGGAAAATGGGATCCAATACTCTTGTGGATACCAGCTGCATCAACGTGTCCAGGTACTCCACCATGCTGCTTTCGCATGTACGTTTGCACCTCTGTGGCGTCCGGTCTTCGTTGGCCAGGACGGACACTCACAGACTCCTGGCCCCCTGCATGTTACAAGCAATGCAAACTCACATTCTCCCGAGTGCAAGTTCAGGAGTGGCCCCACACACAGACCAGCTGGCTTGACGCAATGGTCGCCCGCCGTTTATCTTGTAGCGCAACGCTCGCCCAGGCAATCACAGTGCAAACACTTGGTTGCAGTAGGCACTGCAAACGATAGGAGATGGAAATGGGCAGGCCCCTGGGTCCTGTGTCATCCTGTGTCTATTGTCCATATCACAGCAAAACGCTGCCTTGGAAGAGCTGGCCTGGGGGCCACTGTCCTGTGAGCAAGTACTTGCCATTGGTTGTGCCGGCAGAGGAAGCCCCACAAACACACGGACTCTCACAGCCATGCAAGATGGCTGGACAACTTAGGAACCTGCTTCAGCAATCACACATTGGGAGTTCTTGCAAAATACGCTCACAACATGACGCCGCAAAGGTATAGTTCACCACACGCTCAGGGAGCTTTATGGTGACTGCTTTGCCCGCTACTCCGACAAGGAGTTCTTGGCAGCTTGACTGGTCGGATTGCTTCTGCGTGAAATTCTGCAGAACTGCCGGAGTCACTATGCACCTGAGGTTTACGAAGGTGAGCGCTTCACCTTCAGCCAGCTGCATGGCATCCACAGTACCAATCTTTCTGCCCACCACCCTCGTATAAATCGCTTTTGAGCTCGCCATTCTGCGAACCTCAGCACAGCGGGCAGCAGGGAAATCTGTTGCAAATTGATCAGAAGTGCCATGGGTTCGGCTGAGGCAAGCCTGTGCAGAACGTAGCACTGCGTGATATCATGTGCTCTCCGAGGGCGATGGAAATCTCAGTTGCTCTCTCCCGAGCGCTTCGACACAACTACGGCGTGCAGCGAGGCTCAGAACAATGCTCACCGGAGTGTCCACATGCCTTGACACGGATACTCAACTTCACAAGTAACAGATTCAGTACTGTCATCTGCAGCTCTCACTTCTTCGAGATGTCAAAGCTGTCGTCTTGTCGTGGCCGCTTGCCTGAGGCATAGAGCAGAGGGAGGGACCCCAAGAAACGATGTCCACAGAGAAACTCGGAGGGCCCGACTGAAGCCTTGACGCAAGACTTCTGGCCAAAGGGAGACCAATGGAGACAACATGTTGGAGCACTGGAGTCGAGGGCTGTAGCCTGAGATCACAGCCCCCAGCGGCAAGGCGAGCATGGATCCATGTTAGCTCGGAGAGACACTATGCCAGTTGCACATAGTGCAGCGAGCGCAGGATCATGCGTGGCGATTGCGGGTCGCAACTTTCCAGAATGGGTTTTCACCTTCGTGGCCGTTACCAGTCACCTTGGTGCCCTGCTGCAATTCATGTTTGAAAGTGCAGGTCGTGGTTTCGTCAGGTGTTTTCAAGCTAACGCTGGTGGTGAGGGAGAGCAAGTGGTTATTATGCGCCAGATGTTGGCTCCGACTCATGGTTCATGTTTGCTTCGGTTGTTTGTTTCAGGTGCTGTTGCTTTGCCGGTCAATGCATGGTGGACCGGCAACGAGCTCAAGAGCCACGGCAGCAGATCGATGTGCTGCCAGTGCCAGCATAGTGTGGTTTGGCCGTTCAACTGGCATAAACTGGAACTAGATGCCTAGCGAAATGTCCGTTTTGCTTTAATTGCTTGCACCAGTAACATTGCCTCACCCCGTGGCCCTCCCAGCAAAAACCACGAGCAAGACAGGTCAATAGTCAAAGTAGTCCTGGAAGCGCCCAAGGACGGCGAAAGCACTCAGCCGAGAATGTGACATCAGCTGATTCTTCTTCACGTGCTAACTAGCGAATGCCAGACAAGCAACAAATACTAACCGGCTGAGAAGCACGTAGCAGATGCAGCCAGTTTTGCACTGTGATCTGCACCGCCGCATGAGCGACGTGTTTCATTGTAAGCCATATCAGAATGGTGAAGTAACGAAAGCATGCGATATCTACGCAGGTGTCACCAGACACACACGAGAACTACGAAAACATATTCTGTAGGGAAGGCGGGAATGATTTCCGGGTGAGTGATCGTCCCTGCTTATGTGAGAGACGCGAGGTGTAAGAATAGAGCAGGTGTGGGGTGAGAACTTGGTTAGGCATATCAGGCAATAGCACCCCTGCAGAGATGCGGAGGTATGGTTTGGAGGATTCGCAGAGCTGCTTGCTTGTGGCTGACATGGAGCGACTGGAGCGCGCTCCGTTCATTTCCGGCATGGGTCCCTTGCCCAGCTCTGAGAAGCAGATGCTTTTCTAGCATGTTGAAGCAAGATGATTGTCATAAATTCTGGCTTGGGTTATGAAAGCCTACAATGACGTTTTGCATTTCATGTCGGAAGAACTGAAGTCGTGCCGCATCCGCCCTGTAAACGGAAGGCAGAAGCAGAAGTAAGGTCGAAAGCGGCGGGATCTGCAAAATCCAGACCCCAGTAGTAGAAAGCAGAGCCATTCCATCAGTCATCAGACTGAACAGTTTTCATCAAGGAATCCCAGCCGTGTGCATGCGTGCTGGATCCACGGTGCCACCGCATGGTGCTGAACGCTTTGAAGAGGCAGGTTTGTGGGCGAACCGAAGTATTCGCATGCCACTCCCTGGCCCCCGACAGCTGCATTGGCACTTCGGGGTCGGCCTTGCCACGCACAACACGGCATGGCACCACTCGTTGAGCATGCTGGTCGACAAACGATCGTGCCTGACATCGAGAGTACTGGTCCGTTTTGCTAGCGTCCCCGCCCGTCTCACCTTCGGTCACCTGTTTGCGGCCCATGTTGGTAGCAGTGGACAGGTCTTGGGGTTGTCTAGGCGATGTAGTCATTGCACATGCACTTGTCCGGACGAGGTCTCTCGCTCGCACGTTCGTCCTGCTTGATCTTCTTGGGGGCTAGTTCTATTGTCAGCCCTGTTGACACTGATAGCGCCCTTGTCCCTGTCGAGGTCGTCATCGCGGGCCAGAAACTGCAACCACTGAACACTGCGGCCTTGACACAAGATGACACCTGTGCAGCAATGCGGACGTATAGTCTGGCAATTTAGGATTCACAAGTTGCACCATTTGTAGCTCTTGTCACATGGACTTGGCCAAGGATCGAGCGATGCTCATGTACACCTCGGGAACGACCGGCATGCCGTCACTGGGCTGTGCAATCCAGACAACCATCGAAAGTATGCACAAGCACACATGTCGAGCCTGTGGGTTCAAGTCTGCAAGATTGGGAAACATGGCACGTGATCCAGACCCGTGTCACGGTGGTTAAGTCAAGGTGGCAGTGAGCTGCAGTTGACAACCATGCTACAGTAGCGTGCTGCCTCACAGTGTGTCATGTGTGCCTGTGTGACTTCCAGATGCGGCAGTTGGCTGAGGAAGGGAGTAGTCTCCACGCACCGCAACATCTGCTCAGCGCTGAACACATTGCGAGTCCTGACTGTCAGCATGAGACAGCTTGCATCACTGCCAGCTGCATTTCACGTTGATTGGATGGAAGTTCAGGAGCGCATCTTCAGGCCTTTAGAGGTATGATCGACTGAGATGCCTGATGATGCCTGCAGATCGAATGTACATGGCTCAAGCGGTCAAGCACATCTATGCAGCGATACACATGCTTCATAAGGAATGTACTTCGTTCACGAGCAGCCATTGCGGCAACTGGTCGTCATTCTCGCTGTTCCGCTCTTTCATGTGAGCCTTAGCTGTCATGGTCACAGGTGCAGTTTTCCGAACTTTGCTCGGGGCACCATGCTTGTCCGCTCGGGTCATGACTTCGCAAACATGTTCTTTTCCTTTTTCTTTGCTGCAACATGCCGCAACCCATCGGCACGCAGCACATTTCGGTGGCACACCCAGGACCGGCTCTCACATTGCAATGCTGGCTGCGATTTGCCGAGGTCACGGTCTGAGTTTAGATTCGATATAGCCTTCCAGAGAGCTGTGACGAGGTAGGACTGATCACTTCGCCATTCAAGAGCCGAGCAGTGGCTTCTAGCTCTTGTGGATTCTTGTTGGAAATATGCTCTACTCGTAGTAGCTTTTAGCTGAAGTTGTGTGGTCGTTCGTGATCGAGCATGAGTACTCACTTAAAAGACGGCGCAGTCATAGTTATTAGAGATTCTGCTGCGAGGGACCTGCAATCCACTGCACAGGGGACCGGCTCATTCTCATGTACAAATGGAATGCCACCCGAGCTTTGCAGCTCATCCAAGAAGAGAAGGCGGCCTGCGGAGTTTGAAGGGATTGCCGAACAGCCAGCCTGAGCTAGATGCAAATGGTAGTCTTTTCGGGCGTATGTCACGGATTCATGTCACAATTTGTCACACAACCCGTGCAGATTCTGGCTGACAGGTCAACAGCATCGTTGGGGTGCCGACGAACACCTACGAGCTGGTGTCTCGGCTGTCGCGAAAAAGAGCCATTTTTGCTCGGGGGGCGAGCTCTGCGCCGAGTTGTGCTACAGAGAAAGGAGATTGGACCATTGGAAGATGTTGGAAGTTTCACAGACACCCTCTTGACTGCCCGCCCACCATTTCCCGACTACTCGAAGGCATCCCGCATGCTGATTGAGACACCACTCGACTAGATCATAAGTCGGAGGGCATACTGACGATGTGTTCGATAGAGGTTTCGGCTGCTTCTGCACATGCTGTGTGGTGGAAGCATGGATGCTTTTGTGCTCAAACTGCTTGAAGTCCAGATTCATCTGATTACAAAGGTCTGGTTTTGTTCCAGAGTCATGCTTGCGCCCTGACATCGCCAGTGGAAGCCGAAGAAGGTGTCAGAGTGAGATGTTTGCAGAGAGAGTCGCCGCTCCAACCCAAGGCTGTCCCTCGGCTGTTGTGCAGGTCAGAACGCATTGATTGGCCATGGACGTTTGCTGAATATTCCTCGCAGAACAAGATCAGTGATAATGCTGAATGCTCCTTGCAGAACAAGATCTGGGTGATGATCCACATGTTCTGTACGTGGGGCGGGTTGACCCAGCGAAGGAGCGAAATGCTGCCAAACCGAGGTTGACAAGATTCAAGACTACAAAACCAAGACGCGGTTGTGTCAGTTTTTCTTTCCAGCGCTTCTTATGCATAACTTGTGCATACCATCGCTTTCCACTGCCTTGCATGCTATGCCGGGAGACTGCATCAGAGGCCTCCATTGGTTCTCCTGTGCCGCCGCTAAGCCCTTTTGCGCACTCGACGTCCTTGGTAGCAGCTTCCCTGCTCGAGAGCATTGACCGGCAGCTGGATGCGCGACGCCTGTACGTAACTGCTGGCATATGGCCACCGAAAGGGGCCTTTTCTTTATACCCAGATGCGTGCAGACTTGTTTTGGATTCGCTTTTCGCCACGGCGAAAACACTGTCAGTTCAGAGCTTGTTGCACAAGGACAATGCGGCGGGATGATTCTCCAAGCTTCATCCCTTCCGAAGTTCAGGCATTCCGTTTTTGTCGAGCAACCTGCCCGGCTGAAGACTTCATTCAGTTTCAACGATGCACCGTTCCGGTAACGTATCTTCGCCAAACTCTACGTCTAAGTTCTTCCGACTCGTATGTCATCGCTCCCAAGTACCCTCAACCGCTGCAGAGTTCTGTCTCTGCAAGGCACTCAGTCTACTGACTCGACATCTTCTCTCCACTTGGGCATGGTACTCTGCGCTCTCGGAAGAATGTTGAGAAGCGGGTTCATGTAGTGCAATGCACGTTCTTCAAACTACTTTGATTTGCGTATACCATCATATACCGTCGTCTATGACCACGTCCGAAGAACATGCTTTGTATCGAATGCTTTTCGCCACTCACTCCGGCTCAGGGATGGGCACTGCTGTGCTGAATGTGTCACTGGCTTTGCTCGAAGCACGTCTTACGACAACACCTCCCATATCACAGATTCTGGGCTCGCTGGGACGAGTCCAATTCATTTACCACTTGCCTGGTCCAGGTCTACGGCACGCATTTGGCTAGCCAAAATTTCCGGTTGGCTCGGATGTGCACCCCTGGACTCGGACATCAGTGTCACCTTGGACGACCATGAACATGCCAACTATCGCGACAATCCAAGACATAGCATGTCATGGGCATCATGGCCGGTTACGCCAACGAGAAGAGATGAGAGGAGCCTGTACGTCTTGCCAACTTGGATGTCATGGAAAGCTGCACTTCGCGCTGGTCGTGCTTTTGTTTGTTGGGTGTGTGGGGTGGCGAGGGCGGAGCGGCTGTCGTGCATATGGCTTGACCGAGAGCATGGGTGACAAGCATGTCAATGCCTCACGTTGTCAAAATCATATCGCTCTTTCCATCTCAATCATGGCCTCGGCCTTTTTATTTTATTGCGATGAATATGTAGGTCGGGTAGAGGGGAGGGAACAGGGATCAAATTTGTTGTGTACGCCCGACGATTTACGAGAAGCACCGATAGTGGTACCGCAATTAGTTCCATATTAGTATCATTTTGATGTTCTGGATTTGCAAACCGCCGGAGCAGATGTCGTGGTTGCCGACGCCCATCATTTTCCGGACATGCATGCCGGCCGCTGTCGACATGACTAAGTCGAGATGAATGGGCGAGTTTACAAGTCTCGGTGGTGTCATGTGGTGTCACTCTTCTGTTCATCTCATGCTGGACGTGTGTGCAAAGGTTTACTTACTGGATGTTTCTGGGTGTTTCTGTTTATCCGGACTGAGGTCAATCATCCTGACTTCAAGAAGTTCGATACATCATCGATGACCAATGTCGGTGGTGGCGGTGCTGCCTTTGCTGCGCCGATGATCAAACGCGTCCGTCAAACCTTCGAGAAAGCCCTCAGTCTGCACGATTACTGACACTTGCAGCAGGATAAATGCTGGAATTTGTGCTAGACATGCAAGTCCTCCCAAACCGACAGTTGTGCCAAGGCTAAAGCTGGCACTGGGTATGGTCTGACCGAAACTCGTACAGCATGTCAAGGTCAGCACGAATGTTTCGCTTTTTTGCCACAGCTGCAAGTATCGTCCGAGGAGACGAATGCAGTCAGCGTCATCATGCCCGCAGTCCTTTTCCCTGCACGTCCAACATCTTGTGGGCTTCCAGTAGTCAACGTCGATGAGCCCCGGCGTTGACAAAGTGACTTTGCGTCTCCGGCCGAATCGCAGCATCCCAACGTGTCGAGAGCTGCGGCCTGTCCCCCCAGAAGATTCAGCTAAAGCTAAAGGGCGAGGTTTAGAGTGCATTTGGTACACAGGTTCGTGAGGCAGCTGCTTGGCCCCGCAAGGTTTGCATTTTGGGCGAGGGCGATGCCAAAATGCCCCCAGGAGGAGTCGGCGAGATTTGCTTCTTGGTTGCATTTCGGGCCGCTTCCGACAAACTGCCGACCTGGACCTCGCTTAGGACCTAGCCTGCCTGTGCTGTTGCGTGTTCAGGCATCTTTGAAGCCATGTTCTGGGTGCTGCCCAGGCTTACGGGGGCCGGCCATCATGCAAGAATACTGGAGAAAACCTGTGACCCAGCTGCGACATGAGCAGCAGGTACTCAAGACATCGAGTTCAGATCTAGGCAGTCGAGCGAGCAGGGTGCCGGCGATACACGGTCGTGCTAGGCTTTCGCAAGCTGGTCATGAGAAGCACGTCCACAGTTCACCAGACATCTTTGATTTCTTCACACCAAGCTCTGACGCCAGAACTGCTGTCTCCGAGCACTGAAGCTCAGGACCGAACGGCTGAAGCTTTCCATGTGGATGAACATGGAGAGCTTTGGTTCCGAACTGGTGACATTGGAGCGGTGGATGAGGATGACTTCGTGTCCCTTGTTCTTTGACTTAGTGCATGTGGTGCAGTGAGCTTAGTCGGGATGCCTTAGCTATCTCTGCAAGTGAAGTATTGCATGACCAAGTGCCTGATGTCAACATGATGCCCTGGGGGGCCATCCCAAATATCCCAACGACGCCTCCACAAGAGAGGAGTGGCCCATCCAACCGCGCAGGTACATCATGGACCGTGCGAAAGACATCATCATTCGAGGCTGCTCCAACCCTTGACCGCGCGATGCCTGACACTCCCTTGACATGACGTTATGAGTTGAGGAGGAGAGAACATCTCAGCCAATGAGGCACGGACACACCGGCTTGGAAGGGCGCGACATTTTGCTCACATGTAGACGAACAATCCCGCGTTGCAGCATTGCAGCGCTGGGACGAGCAGCTCCTGCGTGACGACTTCGGTTTTTGAGGGTGCGATGCTAGACCCCCCCCCCCCGCTCACTTGCGCGGTGTAGGCCCAGGATGGCCCAAGCATTCGCTCCCGAATTAAAGCAACTTGGCAAGGTGGAAACTGCACTTTACGAGCATCCTGATGTGGCAGAGGTGGCAGCTGTAGGGACGCAGCCTTAAGATCGTGCAGAAGACATGTGAACGAGGACTTCAGATCGACTGCTGCCAAGCATTTCTGTGCTAAGGATGCCTGACGATGCACTGGGAGAGACTGTAGCCGCGGCCATTGTTTTCCGGTCTCTCGGCGAGGGATGCGCAAAGACTTTCCTTCGATTGCTCGAGATGTCTTGAACTTGTTCGGACTCCATTGCTTCTGCCACAGTTACGACTCACATGCTGCATCGGCTTGGTTCATGCAGTCAGAGCTGAGGAAAGGCAAGACGCCACCCAAGGAGGACAGCTGCACATCACAGACACGATTTGGAGCGAAGACTGCCTGTCATTCCCCGAACGGCCAAGCACCAGGAATGCTAGCCCGCATGGTGAAAACAACAGAAAGGATGAGCTTCGTGCCTTCGCTGCTCAGCGGCTGCCACGCCACATGGTTCCAAAGGACTCGTATGCTTGCGAGCATGTGGCCGGCCGTGAATGTTCACGCGTTGCATCCTTCCTACCTTGTGTTCAGCACAAGCCACGATTCTCCCGCGAAGGAGTTCTTCTCTTGGCCGGGCGAAGCTCTTCCGAGAGGAGCATTCATGAGATCGGTCACGGCTACATCGCCGCAGTACCGTATGCAGCTCGCTAGACCTTGGAAATGAATGAGGAGATCCTCCTGCAGATACTGCACAGCAGAACATGATCCACACCGAGCAATGTCTAACATCGACGAGTGGGGCCACAACGGCCTTGGAAGTTTACTTTCGTGCGATAGTTGCAATATCCTGAATGGACATGCAGTGTCATGCAGATGCTCAAGCCCCTTCACCATTTCTTGAAACTGCTGTTGCAGGGTGTTGTGGGTGGGCTTTTCCGTGGGAGCATCATCCGGGACCGCACTATTTGTGAGACAGCATCCCTAAGCTATTCACGCCAGCTTGCAGGAGCCACCGAGAAGATTCAGAAGCGTGCAATTCGGGCTGACCTTGCGAAGCTGCGGAAGGGCCCTGATACAGCCAGCAAGCTGTAAAGACTGGTACAATCTTGTACATATGCTGTCATGAGGCTATTCTGGAATGCCATGCAGCGCATGCTGGAAATGTAAAAATCGGTTGCATCGGAAAAGCAACGTCACCCGCCGCACATTCGAATATCCTTAAGGGTTGCAAAAAAAGTCGCACAATCCTGCGCTGCCAAATAGTGCTTGCCAGCGGAGCAGGCTGCGGCTGCCAAAGCAACCGATGGGCGACCTTGCGCGACAATGAACGGAAAGGCATCCGTTTCCTGCTCTCAAAATGAGAAATTACAGCTTTGTTGTCGCCAGGGTGGTGCTGGATCCTGTGTGAAGATTCTCAGCAGCATTGGCCAACCATAATGGCGAGGGAAACTTGTGCCTTGCTTGTCTAATTCGCCGCAGATTAGACGAAAACACGGACTGCCTTTGGATTGGCTCAGGATGTTCCACAATGCAGGCACGGCAGGATGAGCGTATGTTCATTTCGCTCGTCCTCGGTATACTCTTTGTCGGGTATGTTGACAGACAGGTAGTTGGTAGATGCACGTCTTGATCACCACGGGGATGGGAGTGACAGTGTGTGAGCATGAGTATGTGTGACTCTGCGGGAGCCGCAAGAAAGAAGGGAACGGTATGTGTCACTGTTTCTGAGAATTTTTTTAGATGTTGTTTTCGGGTCTCCGTGGCCCTTTTGCTGCTTCAGGTCTCTTGGATTTCGGTGTTTCTCGGCGTCCGAGCTTTTGCCTATCTTACGTAAAATCGGCCGAGTGCGTGGAGGTTAGGGAAACTTGAGATTCCGTGGGCGTTTGGGCTCAGGTGCCGGAATGTGCCGGACCCTCCATTGTTTCTTTCGTCCAAGAGCTCCAGGCGCTGCCGCTGGTGTTTAGCGCCACCGAGATAGCGACGGTGCGAACCACAGCCAAAGCGAAGGCATTGGCTGGAGTGAGCGACCAGGGCGCCTTGCGTCGCAGATGATCGTGCACAGCGTGCGTAGCTTGTCGCGGGAAGGCCTACTCTCACCATCACGAAATCTCCAAATTGACGATGCCGATTATCTCGGCGGATTATCTGTACTTTGCCGACAAAGACGCTCCCACGATAGTGTGCGAGATCGCGCCTCCAGGACTCCACGGCCATCTTCGCTCATTTGCTTCCGTCTAAAGGCATGGGCTCTACCTACCCCGAGAGGGCAACGCAACTAGACCTCGGATGGCAGGGGTACAAGCTTATCCTGAGGACGGACCAGGAAAATGCCATCAAGGTTGTGGCGGATGCTGTTAAGGCAGGGTTCTCTGGCGATATCTCCTTGGAGGAATCGGTCAAGGGAGATCTGTGTAACGGATACAGGGCAAAGTCCGCACGATGAAGTATGCTCTGGAACAGAAGAATTCCGTCGTCTTTCCTTGGGTGATCCAGTAGGCAGGCGTGCTTCACACGCAGTTCTCCCAGGAGGACGACTCCGTTTCAGCGGCTGAAAAGCTGGACATGGCAGGTGGCCCTGCCAAGTTTCGAGGAGAGAGGTAGCGGACTACTGCAAGCGAGCAAAGAGCAAAATGGATGCCAGATGGCAGGAAGGGATCTACTGGGTCTGCGCCACAGCAGCTCTGAGAAGATCATCGGTACCCGATCTGGGATCTTGGTGGCTCAGTCCATCAGGAAGAAACCAGACGACAAGCAGTTCAGCCTTGAGGGCTGTAAAGGGGACACCTTGGCAACCAGCTCAGAAGTTGCCTCTGCTGCAGATGCCGAGGTGCTCCCAGACCTTGTCGCTATCGACCCGTGAGCAAGCTGGAAGACTTACCACCACCACCACCACCAGCTCCAACGGATAGGTCGGCAGTCTATCGGACGATGTACGCACGCCAAGTCGACCTCAAGAGGTTTGGGTATACTGGTGGGCGCGAGGCTTGTGCAGCCATTTGCAGGAGAGAACGCCCAGGCATCAACCACAGTGAGACCTGCAGGGCTCGGATTCATTAGGCACTGAAGGGAACCACCTCAGACCAGGCAAAGCTTGAGCGTGAAAGCCAGCGCGAGACCGAGTTCTTTGCGAAAGTCCACGAAGCGGAGGAGAAGAAAAGGAAAGCAGCCAAGGAAGCGGCGGCGGCGCCATTGAAAGCTGAAGAAGACCCTGAGAGAAAAGCAAGCCTAGCAGGCTACCGGTGCTCGGAACCCATTAAGCCGACCGAGCAAGCCAGCAGGAAAGAGCTCAAAGAGAAAACTTTCTAAGGCGAAGCTTGTGCCCAGGACCGAGACGCAGAAGCCAGCAGCGTCCGCTTCGGGGCCAATCGTGGCAAGCGCAAAGGCGAGGAGCCAGCCGACGAGAAAAGAGTTGAACCCAGACCTGCAGAGGACCGACCTGAGGCTCAAGAACGGAAGGCTATAGCGATTCTGAGGGGATGATGGAGTATATCATCGCTCAAGAGAGAGGCATACGTCAGATCTCTTGAAGGCATCGAGCAGCCGACTTGTGACCTGGAAGATGGGCTGGTGGAGGAAACCCTTGAGGCTCGAACTGGGAGAAAGCCATAAAAGACGCTCTCGAAGGCCTAGGCTTCAGACTAGGGAAGAGCAATCCCTGCCTTTACTTCCACCCGGAAAGGCTTCTGAGGCTGAACGTCCATGGGGTCGAAGTGGCTGGAAGCTACGAGGAGCTGAAGTGGTTGGAACGAGAACTGAACCAGGTTTGGACAGTCGAGACCAGAGGTATCCTGGCCAGGCCCGGTTCGGGACTGCTAGGAGTGCCTCAGTTCGATTGGTCACGTGGACCCAAGATGATATCGAGTTGGAAGCTGATCCCAGGCATGTTGACCTAGTTCTCGAACAGCTGGGACGAGACAGGGGCACACTAATGTCAACACTGATGGTGAGGACTCAAGCCGAAAAAATGGACACCACACCTCAGAGCGAGGACGAGACTCAACATTATCGCTCCATAGGCATGCGTATCGGCTACTTGTCAATGGACAAGCTGAGGTCAGTCTGTGAATTGGCGAAAGGGCTGAAGGAGCCACCGAAACGCTATTGGGGCCTACTAAAGAGAGCCGCGAGGTGCTTGAAAGGCCTGCCAGGGCTAGTGCAAATGATTCCCAATCAGGAGCAGCTTGTTTCCATTAGTGCCTGGTCTGACCGCGACCATGCTGGATGCATCAGGACCCAGAAGAGTATTTCTGGAGCAGTTGTTCAACTTGGGAACGCCGCTATTGAAGCCGCAGCTAAAAAGGGAGCTGTATTAGCTTTATCGACCGGTGAGGCAGAGTACTATGCTCTCATCTCCACAGCTTCTACTGCCTTGGGCGAACAAGCAATGCCGGCAGATTGGGGAGTAAAGCTCTCAGTCACTGTGGCAATGGATGCCACCGCTACATTCAAATAAGAAATAACAATCGGCTGAGTGCTCGGAGCCTCCACTGTTTCTTTCCCACCCACCCCACCCTGACAGCTTTATTTCGGTGGTGGCCTGTGTCGGTGCCCTAAGTCCCCCTAAGTTTGGGTAGTATCAGTCCCAAGTCGACCAAAATCTGATCGTTCGCAAGGCTGCTGAGCGACCCAACCGTTGCAGTATGACCGAACAGTAGACTCAGCATATGCCATGACGTCCGAGAAAACCCCAACCCTCGGAAGAAATTTTTTGGACTTCAACTGTTTGCTTTCCCGGGCGCGCCCCACGAATGGCGGACAGGCCCTCCGCGTCCGCCTGTGCAAGTTGGCCAGTGTTGGCCAGCAGCGAAAAGATCTTGAGGGAGCGCGAGTGAAAATGAAGAGAGCATGCAGGTGCGTTAGGGCGGGCATGCACGCACGGAGCAAGATTGTTTTTCAGATGTTGTTTTCGGGTCTCCGTGGCCCTTGTCAGCTTCTGTATTTTGGGCTCCTGTTGTCTTGGTGTTTCTCGGCTTCCGAGCTTTTTCCGCTGTTGCGTAAGACACATCCGACTCTGAGATTCGGAAAGAAATCACAGTATAAGAATATCGAAAAAGATACGTGTGAGACAAACACGTGTTTCAAACAACGTTGTTTGTATAAAGTAGGGATATCTGTGGCTTATGCAACAAGACATGTCGTTGTCTTATGCTGACGAACAAACCTCCAAAATATAAGAACCACGGGCCGAGTGGGAATAGGCTGCGAAGGTATGGAGCTTCGAAATTCGAAAGCCGTGATACAAAGCCTGTTAACATATACAACCTTTGGGCTTCTTGCGACACATTGAGGAGACCCACCCCGGAACACATCCCTTGGAAAGATCTTCCATCTCAAAGCCCTTGCACCGTTGTGTTCTAGCCAAATTCGCAGAGCTCAGGCAGCGGTGTGACGAAACCGCGAAATAGCTGCAGAAACACCATCAATGTGGCAGCTCGTGGCAGCTCCAACCTTCCGCACGACACAGTCAGGCAGCACGTGACACCTAGGGCGCTACGACGGGCCGGCACTGGCCGCTCCACGCGGACGCAATTCGACGATGATGTTTAGGGTCGTCGCACTAAACAGGCATCTCGACCTCTCACCTTTCAAGGCTTCAGATTTCTGCAACTCAACAGTCCTTAGGGTTCAGGGGTCTCTGGGGAACCAGTTGTTGAGGGTACAGCCTTTGAGAGTTAATGGTTCGTTGAACCACCCACCATGTCCCATCAGAGCTTTGGGTTTTGGCAAGTTGTCAGTCGCTTTGAGGGTTTGCCTGGATTGTGGGTGGGCTTCGTATTGGGCTTTGTTCTTGGGGTTTGTGTTGTGTGCACCTGTCTAAGCATTGAAGCGCGTCCAAGGGTTTTGATTTGTCTTCACGTCGTGATGACTTCATGATTCATGAGCTCGCAAAATGAGAGGACGGGACACACTGGATTTTGAACGCTGTGTGAGCAACCGTTCGAAGTCTGCCGGATGGTGCTGCAAGATCACGACTTATGCGTAGTTGCTTGTGCAGATGCCAGGAGATTCGTGACCGCGGTGGTTCGTTGCAACGTCGGATTGTCATGCCATGCGCGTGTTTGACACAGAAGTCCTTCCCGAAAGAAGGCCGTGTAGTGTGCCTGCGAAAGTGGGTGAACATGAACAGCTCCTCAGTTTCATCATGCTAGCCCAGGCCTGGGATGGCCTGGGTGTAAGAAGGGCAGGACACCCTTGACAGTGTCGGTCCAACCGGGTGCTTAATACAGGTAACTGCTGCAGGAGAACGGGGTGATGTCGAAGTGTTGCGAGCAAGTGCTCCCAGAAGTCTTCCTGACTGGTTCTCGAACTTCGCATCCGCCTTGCCTCCCTGTGTTTGTTGTGTGTCCTTGTTTTCTCTGGCCGGTTGCGCAGCATGTACCTCACATGCGATTACGGGTCCAGCTTTGCCTTTAGCATTGCGCATTGCTTTCCATGTCTGGTTGGTGAAGACCTGTGAATACAAGGCATCACCTACAGGTAGCAGAAGTAGTGTGATAAGCTTGGCTACATGTAGCGTCTCCATTCCCGCGCACCGGACAGGCGAGTATGCGGTTTTGCAGATTTGGGGCGAAGTGCATGAGGCAGGGGTCACCAATTTTGCACAACCGGCTGTGAATGATGAAACTGAAGGGCTTTAAGGTAAAACCAGCGCAAGCACTTTTCCTGTACGTGCTAGAGCGGCCATGGGACAACGTACGAATAACTACGACTGAACTGCCGTTTCACACTGCCATAAAATGATGTTCTACTTAGCAAGTACACATGACTACCGCAGCATCCGCGGCGCAGTAGCTGCCATTTCTTGTCCAGGGGCAGCTGTTTCTGTCTTGAAGCGAGGCACTTTGCATGTGGCATGGCAGCTGACTGACGGGCGAATTCGCTCCACGTCCGCTTGCATAACGGCCCAATCCACCCTTGCACTGTGCTGCGCCACAGGTCTTGAGAGCCTATGGAGTCGACCCCGACGCCCAGGCCAAACTCTTAGAGCCGCGAGCTTATTGTGAAAGTCAGTGCAATCTCACATGCCCGGCATGCTTATCAACTGTATCGACTGCAACGTTTAGAAGATGGAGCAGAGAGTGCATCGTGTGGACACGCATCACGTTCGAGTGTGCGCTGCCGCTTCCAAAACAAAAAGCTGTGCCCAGAGCAGGGGGCTGCAAAGCAGGCCCACCAAAGGGCCGACAAAGTCTGTCCACATAGTAGAACTGCACAGAAGTTCACTCCAATCTGCTACACCAGAGCATCAGGTCCGGTCCATCCAGCAGATACGAAATTATTGTTGAAAAGATGCACATACAATTGTGCTTCGCAACATCGCCAGCCAAGGCGAGCCTGTGCTAGGTTCCACCTATCAGGCCCGCAACTGTAGTAGCCCGAGTACCCGAAGCGCAAATTGAATTTGTAGTCTCTGCTGTGCCACACTATGCCGGTGACGATGCAGATTGAAACGGGCAAGAGCCCAGTCAAACACAAGCCGCTTGCCAGATGCACAGGAGACTTCTTTTGCTTTCCTTAGGGCTGACACCGGTTGACCGGAGACTCTTGCTTGTTTTGAAGCGTGATGTTCTCAAGAACTTGGAGCCGTCTTCTGAGGAGCAGACTGCATGTCGTAGACTCCTTTGCAGCGGCACATTCGCCAACACGCCTGTGATGCTGAACGCGCTCGCCAGCGGACTCGACACAACGAACACCCTGCTCCAAATCTCGAGCTCATAAATAATCAGCAACAGAGTTCAACAGACGGAGCACGGAGGCGACAGCTCTGGTACTATTTTCGGACCGACGGGAGGCCATCCGGAGCCGGGAAACAGAAACAAGTGAAAAGGGGAGACTTCCACTATACTACATTGCTAACTTGTGTTGGGCATTTGTCGCGCTTACGTACCTGCACGCCGTGGCAAAGCGGAGCAACTTCGTTGCTTGCCCTGCTTCGAAGCGCAAGCTGGGCTTGGACAACACATGAAAACAGACCACGCATGCAGAGACATCGAACTTCGTGCAGTTGCAGACAGTGCTGAAGTCTCGGCTTCGGCAGACTGCCCATTTTTTCCATCCGAGGTCCTGGAAGACCAAGGTGGGTGGTCGCTATGCCGGGCCCCTAGACCAATCAATCAATGCCTGGCCTGGCGGTCACACAGCATGTCGGAACCGGACCTGTGGCTGGTTGTTTCCATAAGCCCGGCCATATACACATCTATATACACACATAGAGGTGATAGGTAGATAGGTATATTTTTGGTAGATAGGTAGATCCATAGGGCCTGAGCCCCTGCTTCCCGTCTAATCCCCCCTCCAGCTTTGCTTTCCCCCGTCCAGTGTGGCATGGTGCCTGTGGTGTTGTCGGGGGCGTGTGCCACTGTCCAAACATCCAACAGGTTGTGTTGTATAGCCTGTGCAGTTGTCTTTGTGTAGGTCATTTTCCGCGATGGGCGCTGATGCAAGCATGGTGACAGCTGTTGGTTAGTGGTATGCAACTCTTCTTACTGTGAACTTTGCCATATTGCCGGCGTTGCTGTTCTCCTGTTCTGTTTGGGTCATTTCGCCCTGGTCCCTGTCGCATGTTCCCCCGCTGCCATCGGCAACCTGCCCCCGCAAAAACAGTCACTCAGATCACGACCTCGATACATACCTACATAAAGACAGACATATCTGTGTGTAGAGAAATGTAGGCACGTTGCTCAGCATGTGCTTTGTCTGTAAGGAGGTGAAGATATCTGAGGTCTATTTCCACAGCCTGATGTGCGCTCGGCCACCTTCAGTAAAAGTTCGACATTGTTTTCAAAAAGCTTACCTGCGCTAGTGTGTGCAAAACATAACGACGCCCAGGCTGGTCTTCTCGATTCTTACATGCTCGATATCACAATTGAGGCTTGGGCACAAATTTGACAGTGATCTTGCTGCCATCCGCTCGTTGCGGGCAGCACCCGGCAGCCGTGCAATGTTTGTGTCTTTCCTTGCCTGTACATGGGTCACAGCTCCAACCTGCAACAACAAGATGCCGAAACAAAGTGTTCAAGCTTTTTGCCCGGTTCTGCAGCGTTTACCTGCAAGCCGCCTTGGAACTTTAAGCCTGGCTGTTTGATACTGTTGGCTCGCGGAGGTGACCTTGCAAGCACTGTTTTTGTTTCCGGCTGGCTGGCGCCCAGCGCAGGTTGTGAAAGCTCGAGACTCCACAGTGGCTGGTGGTCGAGACGATGGTGAAACACTCCTGTGGGAAGCCCATGTTTGCGCAGGAAAGTATTTTCAACTTGTATCAATCCGCGGGGGTTTGTTACGGGCATGGCTAGCCCCTCGAGCAGTGAAACGTTCTTTCGCACTGTTGTTCACACTGCTTTCATGTATGTGGCGCACTGGTTTGCTTGGCTGGTCCAGGTCGCGGACGATGGACAAGACAGATTCCAAGGGTACAGGTGGGGGAGACAGCGAGTTGCAAATGCCGTCCATCCGACAATCAAGGTGGCCTTGTTGACATTGGTTCGCTCAGTCGCTCAGGAGGCAGACCAAAGGAAAGCCACATAGGTCCTCAGCAGAGGCAGTAGCAGGCTAGATGCAAAACCGGAGAGGAGCCCGGAAGCGAGACCCCATTTCTGCAAGACAAGCTTCCGCAGCAAAATTGGACACGAGACCTTCACTATGGAAAATAATCGCATGTCAGATTTCTAAGCACTGAGCACCGTCCTTGGATCCAATGTCTCGCAGCAGTCTAGAAGGGGCCCTGCCCTTTACTCGGCCTTCCAAAAGCTTGTCCAGGCTTGTGGTCGGTGGTTGAGGCGCTGCAGGCCCTTCGCAATGCGGGCATGTCAAGTGTCACAGAAGCATGTGAATCGGCGACGGCATGGCACAAGGTCTTCGTCCAGGATGTGTGTCAGAAGTTGCAATTGGCCTGCCAACTAGGCGGCTGTGCCGGCGCCTTCGCTGGCAGCTGCATTATTGGCAAGGCAAATGTCCATGGTACGCCACGGGCTTAGCAAAACCATCCAGCACTCGCTTATAAAAGTTTCGACGTGTGTTTTCGTTTGCACTGTCGCGGATGTCACAGAGCAGCAGAAATTGCACAACTTCGGTTGAATGTGTGGTGGTGGTACATGAGGTTCGGAACGACTGGAGAACGCAGCAGCAGTCCCACTACCGAAACCGAAGCTCAAGGCAGGTGCATGTAGCTGCTGAAGCTGATGCTGATGCATTGCCGATTCAGCTATCGCCGCAATGAGCCAGCATGATTCTTTGCACCAGTTCCTGCAGCCAACTATGAGACAGGGAACCTGGAATTCTGAGATGGAGGAAGACCTGTTTTGGGCGGCGGCATTCGCCATCATTGCCTCTTATGCGCAAATGCAGCTTGTCTCGGAACTGCTGGTAGCAGCCAAGAGGATGAATGATGTGCAGACAGGCACTTCACGATCGCAAGTTGTTTCCGAGATATCTCGAAGGTGTGTAACTGGCACACAGTTGTTCGGGACTGCCTGTATATGGTTAATGGAGTTGGCTTACTACTGTCCGCCTGCGCCCCTGCTTGTACAAGCATTAATGCCGTATGTAGAATCTGCATAGCGCGAGATGGCGCGAGTCTGTTTGATAAATGCATTGTGCTGGCACCCTAAGGTTTCAGTGCCTTCGGAAGATGGACGAGGCATGCATCCGCGGACCTTTGAGAGATGGAGGAAAGCATTCCACACATGTTATTTGAGGTCTTCGAGTTCGGTCTGAACCTCCCAGCCACAATTGCGACTTTTCGAGCAGGCACGCGAGGGCATGAAGAAACCACGTCAGCAGCAACAGCACCTCTGTGTGTGTGTGTGCAGTCGAAGCCTTTTCAGGTTTGTGAGTTGCGATAGTGGTGGCAAGACTGGTGTGGCAAATTAGGACGGCAGTGTCCCGGCAGAATGGGTGACGGAGGACTCCGGACAAGCCAAGCACCGCATCTACTTTGTTTGCATTTTGATTTTCTGCCCACTTGAAAAGTATGGCAGTGGAGCAAATAGAATTAAAGCATAGAGTTCCCAGCAACACCAGAACCGTTCCAACATGGGGTGGGGAAAAGCATGTTCCCACATCGGATTTCGTGGGTGATACGAGGATCTATCAGAATATCTCATCGCTTTAACACCACGCGGTCCACCCGGTATTCTCGGGAACCTGGGTGAACAGAAGGCTTGTTTGACTTCCTGTGCTTGGTGCTGTCCGAAGGATACACAGCCTGTTGCCTGCTTTGAGTCGCCAAGATTCAAACCAAGCTTGATCGGGGCGGAAGAGTTGATGTTTCGAAAGGAAAGATCCTTCCGATTAGGACTCGACCAGGCAAATGCGGTGGACTCAAAGCCATCCTCCGGTCTTGCGGTGAGGAGTGCTGTTTACTCTCCAAAACTGTGAACCATTGAATTGGCAACTGAGATGGCCGGCCCCAGTCGATAGGGAAGCATCGCTTCTTGTCGACATTCCATCTAAGAGCGAGCTCATTTTGTTGAGAAGTGCGCCTCAGACTGCACGTTTGCTTTCATCGGTGAGCTTGCAAGACAGCTAGCAACCGTGGCCCGTTCCTGACCTTGTCCATGGCTTGCACACGGGGTTGTGCAGGAGTTGTTTGCTGCTTGCCGACCAAGAAAGTCTTACCCACGATGGTGCCAGCGGCAGTGGCAGCCGCACAAGTAGCGCAAGGAAGACTAGGAGAGTAGTAGGAGTAGGAGTGGCAGTAGTAGTAGTAGTAGTAGTAGTAGTAGCAGCAGCAGCAGCAGTGGCACTAACAGTAGCAGTAGCAGTAGCAGTAGTAGAAGTACTAGCAGTACACTGATTGCGCCGGGAATTGAGAACTTTGGGGGAAGCATCTTGGCAATCTTGGTCATCTTGCCCCTGCCCCACTTCCTCGCTCACTAGTTTACCTTTTGGAGACCAGGATTGCAAGATTGCTTGCGATCTTGTTCCCCCCTTGCCCCACTTGCTCGCCGATTAGTTACCTTTCGGAGACCAAGATTGCAAGATTGCTTGGCAATCTTGCCTTGCAATTTTGGTCGGAAAGGTAAACTAGCCGGCAAGACCAAGATTGTAAGATTGCGAGGCAATCTTGCGCAAATAAGTGTTGCAGATTCCCGGCACTCTAGTTAGCAGTAGTAGCAGTAGTAGTAGTAGTAGTAGTAGTAGTAGGCCGGTGCCCCCTGCCGGACCCACCTTCTTAGCATGTTTGAGGAAGATGATCATGATACGGATGCCGATGACGTTGATGGTGATGATGATGCTGGTGATGATGATGGTGGCCTTCAGGCACAGGTGGGATCGGGTTGGGGAGCGGGTGGGGGGGGCGATGATGACGACATTGTTGCGCAGACACCCCGGACGATCTCCAGAAGAGCCGTTCTACTCTGTATTTACAGTACTTTCGTGATGTCGCACCATCTTATATAGTCACCAAACCTACTTCTGGACTTTGCGAACTCGACCATGGGATTTCGGAGGGCTTTCTGCGAAAACTCGAATTTGGATGGGGGGAAGCTTGTTTCGGGGATGATGACGACATTGTTTCGCGGACACCCCGAACAATATCTCCACACCGTAGCGCACGCACGCCACACACTACTTCAACAGCAAACTCCAAAGGCTGAGGTCTGGGCTTTAGGGGTGTTGGCGAGCCGTCCACGTGCAGCTGGCATTTTGGTTTTGATGTTTATAAGAAGTCGCGCTTCAGGTTTTCGGAGTGTTAAAACCTCCTTGGCAGCACCTGCATTCTGCACGGTGTTTACAGCGTTTCCGTACCATCCGACCACTTGTGATTTAGCAGTTTCTTCCGCGTCGAGGTTCAAGACAAAGTGCGGTCGCTGCGTGCTCCCAAACAACAGTTTAAGCCCCAACAACACACTTTCCGCCCACACTTCCACACTTCCATCAAATCAAGAAAAGACTGCGGTCGCGGCGAGGTCCAAAGCGCCAGTTTTAACCCCCAAACCATGCTTTCGGGGACCGGAGCTGGTCCCCGAAGGAAGCCTTCAGCAACACCACCGTGCAATCCGTGCAATCCATTCAAGTGAGGAATCCTACGGCCTGGCCAGCACTTTCCACACTTGCAACAAGCAACATGCATTCCTATTGCTCTTAAAGGGTGGTTCCCCTGTGGGGCCCCGCGCCTAGTAGTAGTAGTAGTAGTAGTAGTAGTAGTTGTTGTTGTTGTTGTTGTGGTATGTTACATTGCGCACGTCGCACACTCCAAGTGCTCGACGAGGGGGGACACGCACTTCGGAGCGCCGTTCATGGACGGCACCACATTTTGCTGACTCCTGGATGGCAACCTTCCGGTCCTAGTCCACAGCTTCCCACTGAAGTAGTAGGACGCCCCTTGGAACCAGCTGGAGCAGTAGACCCCTGGTCATCCATCCGATATGCTATTCCAGATCCGATGCTGTGAATAAGCTGCGTCTCCATAGTAGTGGGAGTAGTAGTAGCAGCAGTTGTACAGTAACAGCAGTAGTAGTAGTAGTAGTAGTAGTAGTAGTAGTAGCCGTCGTCGTCGTCGTAGTAGTGGCAGTAGTAGTAGTAGTAGTAGTAGTAGTAGTAGTTGTTGTTGTTGTTGTTGTAATGAGAGTAATGATAGTAGTAGTAGTAGTAGTAGTAGTAGCAGCAGCAGCAGTAGTAGTAGTAGTAGCAGTAGTAGTAGTAGTAGTGGCAGCAGCAGCAGCAGCAGCAGCAGCAGCAACAATAGCAGCAGCACATCAGGAGTAGTAGAAAGTCGTGGTCAGCGTTTCGTAAAAGCAGCAGCCGTTGCGGCAGCACAACTAGTAGCAGCAGTAGTACTGGCAGTAGCAGCAGTAGGAGGAAGACTGGTAAGAGTGCAATGCTGTCAGGGTGCATCCTTCAAGGCTTCCTTCTCGAGCCCATGACGAAGGCCGTTTTGGTGCTGCCCCGGTGTGCTAGCTGCTGCGGTACAACCACATCCCATCCCACCATGTCCGACCGAATGTCCTGCGCGACTGCTTCGTTCCCAAGTTTTTGTTTGGCTGTCGCAAGCCAAATTCTACGACGTACTGCATGGCTCAATGATTGCAGTCGGCACTTGAAGCTTGCATTCTGCGAGGCATTCGAGGATAACCCAAAGCTGCCGAACTTGTTGTCGGCTTTCCGGCCAGAGCGTTGTCCTCAGAGTCGTGAAGTTTGAAGCCGGTAGGCAGATGATGGTCTCGAACCATCTTATGGTAGCTTATGGTGACTGCAGTTGCCGCCAGGTGCTACTTTGAGTGTAGGTTTTGAAAGCACCGTTTGGAGAAAGTGCCTCACGCAGAAAGCACTTTCTGGGGCCATGCTGCTTGCACAGCAGTTCACTTCTTGTCAACGTGTGGACTGGTCTTTCATGATTGGGCATCAGCGGTGGTTATTTGCTCAGGATCGAGGATCATCTGCATGGCTCAGCCCTCAAGCCTTCAGACATCACGTGGGTCGGACAGCTACGGCTACCGGTGTTATCTTGATTTGTTCGCAACGAGCTGCAAAGCATGCTCTTCTCGGAAGTGCAAAGCTTCGGGACTTGCAGGAGCATGGCGCAGTGTTGGGATGCACAGGGTAAGGTAAAAGGGCACAGTAGGACTCACATACTGTTGTACTTGCAGTCATTGCCCCTAGCAATAAAAATGACCAAATTTTGCAAGCACGGCGAGCAGGGTTACGACACGTGCAGTACAGGGGAAACGGGTACATCATAATTATGTGTGCCCCAGGACTACCGTACCCTTGCACAGTAGACGGGTCACGAGAAGAATGTAGCACCATCCATGAGAGCACCGTTGACCAATTCTAGTGCAGATTGTTGGCTCAGGTTTCAAGCGTGCGCCTGCAGCTGTGCAAATCTCCGCTTGCCTCACATCTTTCATCAAACAAAGTGAACAAGACTTGTCCTTGGTACACTGCAGGAAGCCGCTGCGTGTGCAAGTGCTTTGTTGCCGCATTGACAGTCTTTCAGGCTTACACACTGGCTGTGCAAGCGAGGTATCCT